CTCGTAATGGTTGTTGCACTGATTTGTGTCTGAAGCTCGCGTGCGTTCCGAAACTTGGAGGCATCTTGGGGCTCTCTTGGGATTCTCTTGGGCCCCTCTTGGGGCCTTTTGGGGCTCTTTCTTGGGGCTCTCCTGAGGTTCTCTTAGGGCCTTCTTTGGACTTTTTGGAGCTCTTTTGGGGCGTCTTGGGGCCCTCTTGGGGCTCTTTGGGGAGGTATGTGGGCCTTCTGGGGGCTCTTCTGGGATGCCTGAGAGGCCTCTTGGGGCCGTCTTGGTCCTTATGGCCACAGAAGGGGGGGCCCTCAATTCTGCCGTCTTGGGACCCTCTTGGCCCGCTATTGGAGCGCTCTTGGGCGCTCTTGGGGCCGTCTTGGCTCTCTTGGGCCCCTCTTGGGGCTGCCTTGGGCCATCTTGGGGCCATCTTGAGGCCGCAAGAGCCCTTCGGAGGCGAAAAAGTCGAGAAGGCAAAACACATTGATTTTCCGTAGGTTTTCGAAGGATTTTGGCCTCGTGGGGGGTCCTTGGAGGCCTCGAAGGGCACTTGAAACTGTTTTGGGGCCATCTTGAGGCCTCTTGGACGCGTGTCGGAGGCTATATTGACCCGTCTACCGCTATCCTGGGCCATCTTGGAGGCCATCTTGCGCTCTCGGAGGCCCTCTTGGAGCCATCTTGGGCCATTTTGGACGCTGCTATGGGTCCGTCCCCCCCGGTCCAAACGCAGGGAAGAGGGGGGGGAGGTAAACCTCCCGAGCAGGGAAATGCAGGAGGTTGGACAGGGAAACGCCCTAGACCACCTGCGCCCAGAGGGCTGGTGGGATTGGCATTGGTCGGGAAAAAGATGCCGATCAAATTGCACCGATGCGGTGGGGCAGTTCAGTTTTCAGCCAAAAGCCCCCGACAAGCGACCTACGCATGCAAACGATGAATTGGGAGACCCAGGAATGAATTGACAAAGGGACTATAACGAACACATCGGTGTCGTTTCCTTTTCTGACCAACGCTTGTACGAAGCCGCTCGGGACCAGGCCAAGCGGCGAGTACTATGTATTGAGTTCGCGTTCGGCAGCGGTGAAAACGATCTCCAGTGGTTCCTTCTCCCCCCCTCTTCCGTCTCCTCTTGTTCATCTGCTTCACAGTCGTGAGGGTCTCATTGTTCTGTTTCAGAGTCACGCTGCGCTTTGTGATTCTGCTTCGCAGTCGCGATGCGCCACTCTACCCCTTCATTGGCATGCGCACTTTTCCCGCCCACGTGCCAAACGGCGCATGACTTCGCGAGTCGATTCACGGATCAGCTTGCTCGGCTTGGGCCCTCGATATGTTAGTCGTTGTGCCAAGGTTTTGGGAAGCTTGGCAAACCCGCGCGGGCAGAAACACAAACGCATGCATGAAGACCGCGCGCGAACGACTGCAAGCGAGAGGCCTCGTCCGAGGAGAGGGAGGATCCATCCAGTATCTGTATATGTTGCGTGGTCTTGACCCTTTTTCGTCCTCCCGAGGCTTCCGGGTGCCTCCTCGAGGCCTCGAGGGGGGGGGGGGGATTTGTGTGCTCAGACGTCCAGAGTTCTGGGACCTCCGGGGGTCTGGGCCTCGTAGGCCAACGACGTCGTGATTTTGTCCGAGCGGGGATCCCCAGGGGTTTCGTCGAGCGTGGTTTTCTCCGAGCGTGATTTTCTCTAAGTTTTCGCCCCGGGCAGTTCAGGCTTCGGGGTGCGCACAAACAGCCTCCCCAGATAGTCCCGGCTGGTCTCAGCAGGCCCCCCGAGCAGTCCCAGCTGGCTTCAGCAACCCTCGTTACGTCATATCCCCCCCCACCCTCTCCCCCCATGACGCCCGTCGTCGCCGATGATAAAGCATCGCGCTCTATCGTATTCGGCCTCGGCGTGGATACATGGTTTGGACGCTTGGGGGGCATTCCTGGCGGGTCCCCCTGCAGGGCAAATCCGCCATAGCGGCAGGAGAGGGGGAAAAAAGGAGAGGAAAAAGAAGTGTGTGGATCGTTCGCTGGAGTCCACTGAATCCTCGTTGGACACCACTGCAGCTCTTTCCCCTCTGCTCCCTCTTAATCCCCTTCCCTCTGGAAGAGAGGGGTGGGGGGCTGTCAACGGCCTGCATCCTCATACTCATCCTTGCCGCCGACCGCCCCGGCAGGCAGCATTTTGTCCGCCGCTGCTTCCATCCGCCGTGGCAGCCCTGGTTTCCTGCTTCAGGCTGGCACGAGCCACATGGGTCCCGGGTTGAAGGGGGTTCTGGATTTCGGGGCTTCCCTGGGAGGTCCCAGAGAAGGTGACAGGGAGGTCTCAGGATCTGTTTCCTCCAGGCCTCTTGTGGCCTCATGGCAACTCGGGGGTCCCGCTCGAGTCCTGGGGCCGCGTCATGCGGACAAGGCCCGCGGGTCGTTGGCTTGGGCGCCTCCATGTGTCCTCCGCCCTTCGTTTCTTGCTCCGACCGCGGACCGGAGGTGCTCTTGCAGCGAAGTGCGCCGTGACCAGCTGCAACGCGGCGGTGTTCCCAGCGCTCTACGCCTGCGAGCGGGCGCCTGCCGCTGCCGCACGCTCCCCTTCCCTTCCCCCTTCTCTCCCCCGGCAGAGTCCTACCCGCATCCCTTGCGCCCTGTCGGGGCTGGACAGAACCCCCAACAGTGACACGTCGATTAGTGAATAGTCCGTTGTCGGTTCTCGAGAGGGCGCCGTGGCCGTCATTTTCCAAGCTTGCGCCCGCCAGGTTTGGGCCTCAGGTCGATTTCACTAAACCACGTTTTGCTAAAGGGGGGTCTGTCCATCCCCGACTCTGCGGCGAAGGATCAGAGGGGCCAGGGCTTTGTGGGCCCTGGAAACGGCAGGGCAGTTTTTCACCGTTTCCCCAAAACATGTCCCTTCGAAGTGGAAACGGCAAAACAACGGCGACCGGAATCGGGAACAACAACGACTCCAGGATTGGAACCGGAGCCGGAACCGGTCAAGAAACGGCGACGGAACCGGTAAAAAAACGGCGTCGGAACCAGCAAAAAAACGACAGGAACCGGTAAAGAAACGGCCTTGTCGTTTCCAGGGCCCACTTAGGGCCAGGGTGAAGGCTCGGAGGCCTTCCAAGGACTGATGGGCCCACTACAGCGGAGCCACCGCTTCAGAACAGCTCAGTAGCCGGGCGCCCCCCCGCCTTTCCAGCAGGGGGGCCTGCTCAGAAGGCCTCCCTTCATGCGGCCAATGCTCCCTTCGGCGCGCCGCCAAGGCATCTCCTCTCCTCGTGCGGGAGACGTGGGAGATGGCGAGGGAGGCGGCGGAGGACCAGTGTAAACCCAAGACGCATCAACGATGTAATTAGCAATGAGCCTTCCCTCCAAGTTGCCTTTTCATAGGGCCAGACAAGAAGCTGTCATCATTGCACGAAGTGCCCTGTTGGAGGCCAACCAGCTGAGAATCCCCCATCTTCCGAAAGCACCATCCTTTGGACTTCAACGCCGCGAATCAACGTAATTATCTTTTGCGTCCTGACAGCCCGAAATCTGCCAGAGCACGACCCGTTGGACTTGACCAGCGCGAAACAACCGAACCGTTGCGCCCCAACAATCGTAAGTCGCGTCAGAACGCAGTTCATTGAACTTCCTATGTTTGAGACGAAGGTTCGCGGCGCTGAGGCGAGAGAAACATGTTTGAAACCATTATTCCTCCATATGTGAACTGTTGCACGCTGTTAAGACGGATGGATGCGGCGCTAAGGCGAGCACCACAGCTTGAAAACGAACCGTCCTCCATCCTTGCAATTGCTGCAAGCGTTTCGGGCGGATGCGCGCGGCGCTAGGGCGGGAACCACATGCTGTAATCCATCGACCTCCATCATTGAACTGAGGCGAGGGCCACATTTTGGAAGCCGCCCGCCCCCCATCGATGAAGCTGCTGCGAACGTTCAGCACAAATGTGTTCGGCCCTCAGGCAAAAGCTACATCTTGAAAGCGTTCCACCCTCCATGTTTGACGCTGCTGCAGTTTGTAAGGCGAATCTGCGCGGCGTTAAGGCAAGAACTATAGTTTGAATACAACCCGCCTTCCAGCCATGAAACTGTTTGGAACTTTTTAGACGAACGTGCGCGGCGCATAATAGGCGAGACCCACGTGTTGTAAACCACCCGCCCGCCATCTTTGGCATATGTTGTAGACGTGTAGGGCATGCGGTTGCAGCGCTCAGGCGAGAACCACATGTTGAAAAGGAGCTGGGTTCGTCCTTGAACCTGCTGTATCATGTTTAAGATGAATGCACGCGACGCTGAGGCGATAGCCACACTTTGAACACGATCCGCACTCCATCCTTGACATTGTTGCCAACGGCAAGCTGCAGGGCCATGCGTGTGCACGGAAGGCCAAGGCGGCGGAAGGCCAGGCCCGCCCTACCGAGACGTCCAGGGGTGCGACAGGGAGGCGTTATCGATAAGGAAGGAAGGAAGGAAGGAAGGATGGGGAGACGGGTGCAAAGTGACCAGGCAGTAAGGTCGTGAGCAACGGACGGGCCGCAGCTCGAAAGTGTTGTTGGATACGCACTCGTTTGGAGGTCCCAAGACATGCTCCTTGGGGCCGATGTTTGATCCCGATGCGTCGTTTGCCGGTCCTGGAGCTCGGCGAGGCCCCCCCGAGGCTGAACATTGCCAAAAGTGTTCCGTCGTCCATTTTTTTCCACGGCGCGATCATATTTGGTGAGGAGGAGGAGGAGGAGGAGGAGGAGGAGAAAGAGGAGGAGGAGGAGGAGGAGGAGGGGGAGGGGGAGGGGGAGGACGAGGAGGTGGAGGAGAGGAGGAGCAGGGGGAGGAGGGGGAGGAGGAGGAGGAGAAGGAGTGCCCCCGCACGGCCCCCTCCACAGAGTAATAGCGCGCCCGCCACGAAGCATGTAAGAGCGCGAAGGCCTCCTCCTCTTCACCCTCATTCCCCCTCTTCCGTCCATGTTCAGCTACGTTGTTGACCAGAGCCATCTCGCTGCGCCCTGGCCCAGATATTACTCCGAGCCGTTAGCAGCATGGCTGAGCAGGGCGATACTGTTCGAGGGGTACCGAAGACGGTGGCGATCGTCGGCGCCGGCCCCAGCGGCCTGGCCGCGTGCAAGGCCGCCCTGGAAGAGGGCCTCCTGCCCACGGTCTTCGAGACAGCCGCGGGGTTGGGTGGGCTGTGGCGGTCGGACGCCTCTGGGAAGGTTCGGAAGGGTCAAAGTGGGGGCGGACACAACGGGGACGAAAACCAACAGTGGTTCCTGCCCATGTTGAGCGGGTCTCATCGTCGATCGATGTTGCCGCAGACGTTGTCCGTTTGAGACCGACGCCGCCTTCCCGGCAGTGGCCGCGGTCGGTTCTGGACAACGAGCGTTCGCTGTTTGTCAGCGTTCTTTGTTGTCCGTCCCTCTTTCGGGCGAGCCAATCCGAGCTCTGACACGTCACGCTCAGCCACGCCGAGGTTCTGCTGCGATGCCTCCGCAGGGAAAACCCCAATGGGCTCTGCAGGCCTCCAGAGACTCCCAGGGATTTCTTGTTCCGCGCACCGACTGGAGACGAACCGCAACCAAGCTAAACATGGATGTTGTGCGTCAGACACATAGCACGAGCCCGTGCTTGGCTTGTCCTTGGTGTGGGCGTGCCAAGAGTGGAGCTGAACGCAAGGATGGGCTTGGGACAAGGGGGCAGCAGAGATCTTCCGCCCGCAGCTGGGTCCGGCCCCGCCACCGCGCATTGGCGTTAAGTCGGACCTGTCCACCTACAAGAGAGCTTCGACGAAAAATAACAGATACCAGAAACAATCCAAAAATAATCCAAAAATGGTCTGGGGATTATTCTTTTACAGTGCGTGGGCCCCCCGCCCTGTGCTATCCCCTCTCCTTGGGCCCGCCCCGCAGCAGGTGATAATGTCAACCCGCATAGTGAGGAGGAGCCATTTTCCAGGGCTGCCCCTGCGTCCTTCCCCTTCGGCCCATCCTTGAAGACTTTCGCTGGCCAACCTCGTTCGAAGAACGTAAGCATGGCCCTCCAAGGCCCTTGCATCCTTACCGCGCATCCTTATTATACGGGTTGGCGGTAACTCCCTTCAGAGCGTTCCGGAACGCTCTGAGAAGGCCGGGGCGCCCGAGACGTCTTGCAGAGCCACCAGATCTCAGAGATGCTCGCTCTATCCTCGCCCGAAGTTGCCCTCGTCCTGGCGTCGTCTTGAGGTGTGGAACTGCATGCGGACCAACCTCTCGAAGTACACCTGCGCGTTCTCCGACCAGCCCTGGCCGGCGCACGTGCCCGACTTCCCCGCCGCCTCGGAGGTCGAGGCGTACCTGCGCGGGTTTGCCGAGGAGAGCTCGGCGGCGAGAGAGGGTGGGAAGCGATAAGGAGGAGGCCCTCTCAGAAGGCGGCGGAGCTTCTCGGAAGCCCTCTGGCCTTCTGAGAGGCGTTCTGTGTCTTCGCGGAAGGCTTAGAAGATGCTTCAGCAGGCTGGGGGACTCCCGAGCCTTCTGAGAAGGCCCGCTCTCTTCCACTGCCCCCCTGGGCTGGCCACCGAGAGGACAACGGCCTGCTCCAGCACAGACCTGGAAGGGCAGCAAGCTGCACGAGCAGAAGCTTTCGAGGGCCCGCGCGGGCCTCTCGTGGGTTCGGCGCTGGGCCCGCCAAGGCGGAGAGCGGGCGGAGTAGATCGCCACAGGGGTGGGCGGGTCTGGGAGGCGACCGGTCCCGGGGTCGTTTCCGCCGGGTTCGGGTGTTCGGGGCCCTCCTCGGCCCCAGGGCCGTCAGACGACGACTCGGGAGGGAGCGGTTGATCCTGGGGGAAGGTTACCAGGGTCCAGGACCTTAGTGGGCCCCGGAAACGGCAGGGCCGCTTCGTCCCTTGAAAATGGGAACGGCAACAAAAACGGCGACGGGAAACGGCAACAAAAACGGCTCCAGGATTGGAGCCGGAGCGGGAACCCGTAAAAGAACGGCGACGGAACCGGTAACAAAACGGCGTCGGAACCGGCAAAAAAACGGCAAAACGGAACCGGTAGAAAAACGGCCCTGTCGTTTCCGGGGCCCACTGAGGTCCAGGACACGTTTCTGTCGGGACCCGCTTGCAGCATACCCAGAGGGGGGGTGGGCAAAAAGAGCGGTCACGACCACTGTTGCTTGCAGCTGATTGCGGCCGCCGCCCTTGGGCGCCGTCCTCGCCACACGTGCGCCCCTGGTAGAACCATCCGCGTGAGAACCATCCAACCATTGCTTTACCATAACCCCCGGCTTTTCGTCCAACCCGACCCGCTCCTCGGGGGCGACAAAGAGGGGGGTGATGACTAGGGGGGGGTGGATATCATGGCGTGGGCCATGAAATCTCCCCAGATTTCATGGCGGCTCTTCTTGTTTCATGACGTCCCTGCCCCCACCCCCCCTGGGCCGCGCGCATGCCGCCGGCCATGATTTGCGCCCCCCCCTCTTGCACGCCCCCCTCTTGGCCGCCCCCGATCTCCACACCCGTTCCACCGCTCGCGGAGCGCCTTGGGGGCGGCGCCAGGGCGCTGCCCAGCAGAGTGAGAGCAGGGCCAGTGCCGTTCGAGCGAGCCTCCGAAATCGAGGGTGCGCAGAGGGAGGGTTATCCCAAGGTGGGGCTGGGGAGCGGGCCCAGCTGGATGCTTCCGTTTCACGCGCTTCCCTCTTCCGGGGGCCGTCCGGAGCGATTTTCTTTCCAACCCCGCCTTTGCCCCAACCCCACCTTTTTGCCCCCCGACGAAAGCCTGAGCTCGCACAGCCTCCTGGTCTTCTGCGTACGCTTCGGGGCTCGCGTGGTGGCGCTGGAGCCCTCCGAGGGCGTCGGCGAGAGCCGCTGCACGGTGACCTGGGAGCCGGTCGTGCTCGGGTCGGGCGTGGGCGCCGGGGCAGGCGTTGATGCCAGCGGCGGCGGTGCATCTCGGGCCCAGGAGTCTGCACAGCGGTGTCACAAGAGCTTTGCATTCGCCATGTCGAGTGTGTATATATAAATATATATTGTTTATATATCTATATATGAACGTGTGTGTGTGTACAAGCACATATATATATATATATATATACGTAGCACCCCGCAATTACGGATAAGGGTGAGGGGGCGAATATTTGGCTTGATCAGTGAACGTAGTTCGTTTGGGTCGCGGGTGGGTTGTGCGCTCTCCACCTCCACCCGGAGGGGATTCAAAAACAGCCCGCCGCAAACGCCGAACGTTTTGATTTGTATATTGAACGCGGCTTGGGTCGCAGGTTCTTCACCTGGAACGCATGCAAAAGAAACCCGCCGCAGGCGCCGAAGTTTTGGCTTGTTCACTGACGTACTTTGGGTCACGGGTGGGTCGCGGGCTCTCCACTTCCATCTGGAAGGAATTCAAAGACAGCCCGCCGCAGGCGCCGAAAATGTTGATTCTACACTGAACGCGGTTTGGGTCGCAGGTGGGTCGCAGGTTCTCCACCTGGAACGAATGCAAAAGCAGCCCGCCGCAAGCGCCGAAGTGTTGGCTAATTCAACGAATGGAAGGAATTCAAAAACAGCCCGCCGCAGGCGCCGAAAAATATTGACTTGTACACTGAACGCGGTTTGGGTCGCGGGTGGGTTGGTTCTCCACCTGGAACGAATGCACAAGAAGCCCGCCGCAGCGACGAAAATTTTGGGTGTGTCGCGGGGTGGGTCGCGGTGGGTCGCGGGTGGGTCGCGGGCGCGGTGTGGGTCGCGGGTTCTCCATTTGGAACGACTGCAAAACAAACCCGCCGCAGGCGCCGAAAATTTTGGGTGGTTCGCGGGGTGGGTCGCGGGTGGGTCGCGGGTGGGTCGCGGGTGGGTCGCGGGTGGGTCGCGGGTGGGTCGCGGGGTGGGTCGTGGTTGGGTCGCGGATGGTCGCCCGTGGGTCGTGGGTGGGTCGCCGGGGAGGTCTCTGGGTGGGTCGCGGGGTGGGTCGCAGGGTGGGTCGCGGGTGGGTCGCGGGTGGGTCGCGGGTGGGTCGCGGGGTGGGTCGCGGGTGGGTCGCAGGGTGGGTCGCGGGTGGGTCGCGGGTGGGTCGCGGGGTGGGTCGCGGGTGGGTCACGGGGAAGGCCGCGGGTGGGACGACGACAACAACAAACAACAAGGAACAAACAAAAAACAACAAACAACAAGCACCAATCAACAATCAACAAACAAAAAACAACAAACAACAAACAACAAACAACAAACACCAACAACAACAACAACCAACAACAGCAACAACAATAACCACCACCACCACCAACAACAACAACAAGAAACTGTATCGCGAAATTCCACTTCATCCACGCACCCAGGGACAGTGCATGACCGTTTGGTTCTGCCCTTTCATTCCGATTCCTAAATATGTATATATTTATATACATTCTTATATACACAACTTATTCATACATCCACACATCTACATATGCATATGCATACGCATATACATATAATATACATTTACATATACATATACACTTACACATGCAACTATATAAATATATACATATATACACATATACATATATATATATATATACATATACATATACATATATATATATATATATATATATATATACTCGTGTGGACCCATGGATCAAACCCACGGCCCTGCGTGAGTCGAAGTTTGCCGACGCGCGTTTGTGTTCTGGTGCGCAAATGCCAGCAACTTGTGGTGTGCGATCGACAGCCGACAGCCTTCGTGACATCGGCGATGTTCGCCTCTTCAGGCCCTCTTGGGGGTCCTCCTGGGGTTCTGTTGGGCCTTCTTGGGCCCTTTGGGGCCGTCTTGACTCTTGACAGCATCTTCGGCCGTCTTGGGGCCCTCGTGGGCAGACTCGGGGCCCTCTCGGCCTGTGTTGGGGGCCTCTTAGGCCCTTGTTGGGCCATCTTGTGGGCCTCTTGGGGGTTTATTGGGCCGTTTGGGGGGCCTCTTCTTCCCTCCTGGGCTGCGGTTGCGCTGGGGCTCTCTTGGGCGCCTATTGTGCCGTCTCGGGGCGATCCCGGAGGACTTTTGGGCCACCTTGGGGGTCCAGACAGTCGAGAGCGCGAGAATCTCAGAACGCGCAGACAATTACAGAACATCTAAGATTTCGGCCTCCTGGTGCCGTGCAGGCTGTGCCCTCGGAGCTGTCTCGGGGCGTCTAGGGCGGGTCATGTTGGCCGCCTTGGGAGCAGCTTGGGCCGTCGGAGGGCCGTTTTGGGTCCTGTCGGGGCTGTCTTTGGTCGACTCGGGGCCTCCTCGGGCCGTCTCGGGACTCTTCTGTGAAGCTCTGGTGCCGTTGGCGGGCCATCGGGGGGCCCTCCAGAGCCGTTGCAGGCTCCCTGGAGCGCTCGGGGAATCGGGGGTCCCTCCAAACCCGGAAGGGTTCTACCGATTTATTTGAAATGCTATTATATATGTATATGTATGTATATATATATATATATAGATACGTGCGTATCTACATCCCATCCCTCTGAATATTCCTATTACCAGGACATGATCCTTGTGTCACTCGGCGGTTTCGATCTCGGCGACGTTCACAACTCTCTTACCCCAATTCGGGATCGAGCAGAATCCCGAGCCAAACCCCACACCTCATCGAGTCGGATATTTGTCTGCGTGGAGTAGTTGGAGTAGCTTATCTTTAAAAGCATTTAGCGTCACCGCGCGGAGTAGTTCGGAGCAGAAAGATGATTGGCACTTCTTTCGTCAAGGCGACGTATCAGATCATACTCCTCGATACTTCTCCAGCCCACTCCCGCCCAGCCTTCCTCCCTCTCTCCCACCAGGGATCGGGAGTGGGCCCGAGGGGCGGGATGGGGAGGCAGGAGCGGCACGGTGGCTGGACTCGCGGGCCCGACCGTGCACGGAGAGCTTCGACTTCGGGGTGGTGGCCTCGGGCGTCTTCTCCAAGAGCCACCTCCCCGACCTCGCGGGCCTGCGCGGCTTCGCTGGCCAGCTCTCGCACGCCTCCGCCTACCGCGAGCCGGGCCCCTTCGAGGGCAAGCGCGTTCTCGTCGTCGGCGCCGCCTTCAGCGGCGCCGACATCGCCGCGGACATCGCCACCACCGCCGCCTCCGTGGTCGTGGCGGCTCGCCGCCCCATGTGGTACCTGCCGCGGTGCTCCGAGGAGGGCGAAGGGAGGCAGCGGTGGTGGACCTTCGAGGGGGGCCCTCGTCGCCACGACCGAGCGCAGCTCGGGAACTGGTGCGGTTGGGCCCTGCCGCGGGGTCTGGGGTCTGATCTTGCGCCGCCGTTGTCCCGACCCTGAGATCCTGCGAACCGACAACATTCCAACACCGCAAGTCTGCCCGAGCGAAAGGGGGGGATAGGGAAAGGGGGGGCGTTACGAGATCTGCTGCATGTAGCTGGTTTCGGCCCCACCGAGGGGCCCATTCCTCGATACGTAGCCGCCTCCGGCGCCGGGAGGCGCCGGGAAAATCAGCTACGTGAGCTGATTCTCAAACCCCCCTTTGCATTCCCCCCTTTTCGCCCGGCCCAAGAAAACATCACGACCTGAGCTCTGTGGCCCGTACCCCGGCGAAAGCCACCGGTTCAGGGAAACGTGCAGCTCGAGTTCGCCGTTTCGGGTTTTGCCGACGCTCTTTGACGGGCCCGTCCTGGATTTGGACGGTCCAGTCTTCGTGGGATGTTTGCAGCGGGAGCCTGCCAAATTTCGGACTGGGTCTCGTCATTGTCCTTGAGCCCGTTTCTTTATTGCTTGGGGCATGACGGGCGTCATGGTCCCGGCTCCCCCCGCCTTTGACGTAACACTCCCCCCCCAGTGCGCTCCGGGCACTGCCGCCGTGCGCATTGGGATCCGTGTAGGTGTCCGCGCAAAAATCCACATAGGAGTCTGGTCCGCAGTCGTCGTCGTCGTCGTCGTCGTCGTCGTCGTCGTCGTCGTCGTCGTCGTCGTCGTCGATGTCGTCGTCGTCGTCGTCGTCGTCGTCGTCGTCGTCGTCGTCGTCGTCGTCGTCGTCGCTCGTGGCTCGTCGCTCGTCGCTCATCGCTCATCGCTCATCGTCGTCGTGCGCGCGGACGTGGCTTGAGCCTGCTTTTTTAGATCGGGCCGATGACGGCAATCATCTGGGGGGGGAGGGGGTTCGATGACGTCACGTTTTGCGCTGGCGGCGTCCTGGAATGCTTCGGAAAGGCGGATGACGGGTAGCAGGGTAGCACCAGTATGCAGGTGGCGAGCTGCACCCCAACGCCTGTGTACACCGCAGTGCCTGCGTGCACCGCAGCGCCTGTGTACACCACACCGCCTATAGACTTCATACCAGCCGCGTGCAACACAGCGTCAGTTTGTGCCACCGTGCCTGCGGGCACCACAGCTCTTGTGTACACCACAGCGCCTGCGTACATCACATCAGCCGTGTGCAACACAGCACCAGTGCACACCACAATGCACGCGTGCATTGCAGTGCCCGTGTACACCACGGCGCCTGTGTGCGCCACAGCAACCGTGTGCAACACAACACCACTGCTGCATATGGAATGTTAGAACGAATCCTTATGACAAAATTGAGCGTTTGTGGATTCCAGAGAAAACAATAGGAAGGAATCCTTATGGACAAAGGAGCGCCGCTGGAATCTACGAGTCCCCCCGAGTCCGCCCGCACCACCCTAACTCCTCCCATCTGCGTCCAGGAGGCTCCAGTCAAATTGGCCGTCCGAGAACCAAGTGGACCGATTCAATAGACCATTCTGCGGTGCACGCTGAGATGCACACGTGCGCTGCAGCGCCAACCCGCACGACAGGGGGTAAGGAGGAGGAAGAGGAGGAGAAGGAGGAGCAGGAGGAGAAGGAGGAGGAGGTAAGAACGTCGCATTCGATTATCAGCACTTTCTTGGCGAAGCGTTTAGTTGTCCGCAGCAGATCCTCACAGGCATGCTTCTTCTATCTTTCCTATTCACGCAGGCGATGTGGTGTACAACAGCGCTATGTTGCACGCGGGTGTTGTGGTGTAGACAGGCGGTGTGGCGTGCACAGGCGCTGCGGTGCACGAATGCATTGTTGTGTACACAGGCGTTGTCTTGCACATAGTTGCTGCGGTGTACACATGTACGCTGGCGTTGTAGTGTAAGGAAGCACTGGTGTACACAGGCGCTGCGTTGCACACGGTTGTTGCGGTGTACGCACGCGCTGTGGTGTACACGCGCGCTCTGGTGCACGCGAGCGTTGTGGTGCACACAGGCGCAGTGGGGCAGATCGCCACCTACATGCTGCTCGCGTCGTCGTCGTCGTCGTCGCTCGTCGCTCGTCGCTCGTCGCTCGTCGCGTCGTGCGCGCGGGCGCGGCTGTGGTGCCGGAGCCACACGATATTCCCCCTCGCGCCCCCCCCACCCCCCCACCCCATGACGCCCGTCATCGCCGAACGTACCGAAACGCGCTCCTTACGGCCCCGCCAGACCAACCCGACTCACCCGAGCCCGAGTCTCGCGTCTCCCCGAGGTACATCAAGGGGCGGCCCGCCGACCTCGCCTTCTACTCCCGGGCGGGGGCGGACGCGGCCGCGGGCAGCTCGGAAGAGGAGCGGAGCGCCAAGCGCCACAGGCTCTGGGCTTCCCAGAGGGGGGGGGCTCCGAGCAGACGGGGTCGGAGGATCGCGCCGCATCGCCGATGCGTCGGCGATGCGGCTCGACGGGGAGCCCGATGTGCTAGGCCTCCTGGCCTCCTCGAGGGGGTCCGAGCAGATGGGGTCGGATGATCCCGACGCATCGGCGATGCGGTTCGATGCGGAACCCGATTTTCTCCACGCCGACGTCGATGCATCGCCGATGCATCGCCGATGCGGCGATATCCTCCGACCCCATCTACACGGGCCCCATCTACGTTGGAGGCCTCTAGGTTTTCTCCGCGCCGACGTTGCCGATGAATCGCCGACGTCGCCGAAGCATCACCGATACATCGCCGACGCAGCGGCGGTGCGGCGCGATCCTGCGACCCCATCTGCTCGGACCCCACTTGGGAGGCCTCTGCAGGTTCTTCGCCTCCGTGGTTGGGGACGTGCCAGCCTCGGTGCGGCTGCCGGACCCCGCGAGAGGGGACGTGCCTTTTGTGGCCATCTTTTGGTGAGGCTTCTGGTTGCGCGCAGACAGCCCCCCTTCAGGCCCTTGGAGACCAGGACACAGACTAACCAGGACATCGGCAAGCTGGGGACACGGCAACCTTCCATGCAAAGTCAGATTTGGTCGTCCAGTGCAGGTTTTTGTTGCTGCTCTGCAGGGTTCGGGTCGTCGTCTGGGTCTTTAGGATGTTTTGCATGCTCTGAGGGCCTGGGTCTGGGCTTATCCCGGAAATGCTTCAGTGCAGGCTTTGTGTCGTGCCGCCGTCTGGAAACATGGTTTCAAGGGATGTTATATGTCCTGGTCTAGCGTGTCCGGGTTGGGGGCCCTGACCACCAGGCAATTATCAGTAGGGGAAGAAACACACAGACACAATGAATCGTCGATCCCGAGGAAAATATGGGAAAAAATGGGACGTGATGGGGGAAAACGCAAAAAAACATAGAAAAATATGGGGAAACCTGTTATGTGTGTGTATTTATTTGTGTGTCCCTGGGCCCCTTCAAATTAGCCCTGGCTGGCCTCAGCAGGCCTCCCGATCGGGCGGTGCGTATTGATGGGAGCGAGAAGACGGGCGTCGGGCGGAAGAAGGTGCTCTCCTGTTGCGCACCGTAGGGGCCCCCAAGGGGCCCCCTGGGCCCAAAAGGGGCGCGAAAGGTGCACGTTTCTGCGGCCCCCCCGCTGATGCCCCCAGAAGCAAGGCCGGGGCTCTCTCAACGCCGCCCCCAGCCACGCCCCCGGTGCGTTCCGCGCCCTAGGGCTGTGGTGCTGAGACCACCAAGGACTGCTCGGGGGGTCTGTTGAGGCCAGCTGGGGCTACTCGGCACTGCTCGGGACGGCTGTCTGTGTGCAACCCGAAGCCTTACCATGTCCATCACCGATGGCTTCCTGGACGCCGTGCGCTCCGGGCGGGTGGCCGTGCGTGCCGAGTCCGTGGTCGGGCTGTCGGAAGGCGGCGCGATCTTCTCGTCGGGCGCCGCGGAGGACTTCGACGCGGTGGTGCTCGCGACGGGCTACCGGCTGGAGCTGCCGTTCCTGCCCCCTCGGCTGCTGGAGGCCCTGGAGTACGACGCGGGCGACTGGCTGCAGCCCGCCGTGCTGCACGAGTGCGTGTGGCACCCCGCGTGCCCCAGCTGATGGGCCTACTTCCCACCACCGCTACGATAGGTAGGACGTGCGAGAAGGGGGGATCCTCCTTCTCCTCCATTCCTCCTCCTCCTCCTCCATTCCTCCTCCTCCTCCTCCTCCTCCTCCTCCTCCTCCTCCCATTCCTCCTCCCATTTCTCCTGCTCCCGCACCCCCTCCTCCTCCTCCTCCTCCTCCTCCTCCCCCTCCTCCTCCACTCCTCCTCCTCCTCCTCCTCCTCCTCCTCCTCCTCCTCCTCCTCCTCCTCCTCCTCCTCCTCCTCCACAACTGCTTCTCCCTATGAATAACTTCTCCCTGTCGCACCCCTGAGGCCAGTTTTTGGGGCGGGCCGGGCGTTTCGCCTGAGACTGCCTCAGCATTTATGGTTCTGAAGCCTCAGAAGTGACAACAGCTTCACAGATGGAGGGCAGGTGGTTTTCAATATGTGGCTCTCGCTTCAGCGCCGCGCACACTCGTCTTAAACATGCGCCAGAGTTTCACGGATTGAGGTCACTTCTTTTTCAAAATGTGGCTCTCGCCTTAGCGCCGCTCACCTTCGTCTTAAACAGTCGCAAGAGCTTCACGGATTGAGGGCGAGTCGTTTTCAAAATGTGGTTCTCGCTGTAGTTCCGCGCACATGAGTCTTGAACACTTGCAAGAGTTACACTGATTCAGGGCGAGTCGTTTTTTCTTAAATGTGGTTCTCGCATTAGCGCCGCGCACCTTCTCATTCCATATTTCAAAGGCTTCCACGGATTCACATGATTAATTCATCAGCAACCGTGTTTTGGAAGGATTCAGGCTTATATGGGGGTGCACGTGTTATGTTGATTCGTTGTGTTCAAGTCCCAGGAATGGCGTTCTGGCACGATCCAGGACCGTTCGAATCCCGAGAACAATGTTTTGGCATTCTTCAGGGTCTTCAACCAGTTGTCTTACAACGAGGCAGTAAACATGAACCGTTGTAGTGGCCTATGAAGAGGGAGCTTGGAAGGAGGGTTTATCCCAAAATCGTTGTTGCGTCTTGGGTTTACACTGGTCCTTCTCCTCCTTCTCCTCCTTCTCCTCCTTCTCCTCCTTCTCCTCCTCCTTCTCCTCCTCCTCCTCCTCCTCCTCCTCCTCCCAACTTCTCCTCCCTTTCCCTACCTATGGTTGTGGCGGTGGCACATCGGCCCATCAACAGCCTGGCGTTCGTGGGGCTCTACCGGGGGCCCTACTTCGCGGCCATGGAGCTGCAGGCCCGCTGGGCCTGCGGGGTTTTCTCCGGGCGGCTGCAGCGACCGGGCGCGGAGGAGCGGGGCCCCCCCAAGCGGTGCGGTGGCCACGCCGAGCCCTTCCTCTCCTCCTCCTCCTCCTCCTCCTCCTCCTCCTCCTCCTCCTCTCCTCCTCCTTCTCCTGCTCCCCCTCCTCCTCCTCCTCCTTTTCCTCCTCCTCCTCCTCTTCCTTCTCTCCTCCTCCTCCTCCTCCGCCTCCTCCTCCTCCCCCCCTCCCCCTCCCCCTCCGCATCCTCATCCTCCTCCTTCTACTCCTACTCCTCCTCCTCCTCCACCTCCTCTTCCTCCTCCTCCTCCTCCGCCTCCTCCTCCTCGACGTGGCCGCACGGTCTCGGTCCTCGGATTCGCTCTCCGAGGACGACCTCGGGCAAGTTGGCCCTCCAGTCAGAGGAGGAAAACGTATCCGTACCGCTACCTTTCGCCCGTTTTGCCATGTTGGGGCTTTCTGCGAGGCTCTCGTCGCCACCGCTGGATTCGCCTCGAAATCTTGGTCAGAACCCTCCCCGTGAGAGGCCAGGGAAATAGCGGTACCGGTACCTTTTAGTTTCCCCGTCCAGGGGGTCCCAAAGCCATTTGGGTACGGGCCGTGCGGTGAGGTCTCTGCGGGATCTCGAGGTCCCCGCGCGGTGCGTCGCCGCACCGCCCTGGGGCCCCGGAGAGGAGCTGGAGAGGGGGCTGCAGCGGGAGCGCGACGTCCGCGCCAAGCTGCCGCGGCAGCAGTTCCCGCACGGGGACTACGTCGGCATGGTCGAGGCGCTCGCGCGTCGGGTGGGCGTGCACCCACAGCAGCTATTGAACGACAGGCCTCCGAGGCGGAGACTTATCCCATAACCACCGCTTGAGGGGTCGATGTTCGGGGACTTCGGCAGGCGATGGATATGTACATATGCCTGCCGGGGGGGGAGGGGGGGGGGGCAAAATATCCACTGCCATCGCCTGCAGAGATCCCTGAAGATCGATCCCCCAGGATTTGGTGATGGATGAGTCCCCGCCTCGCAAGCTCGGGCGAGATGTACCAGCTCTTGTACAAGGGCCCGCTCCTCCCCTTCCACTATCGCCTGGTGGGCTTCCAGAGCAAGCCAGAGGTTGCCAGCCGTGCCATCCGTGAGTGCGTCACGAAGCACCCCCTCCCCATCGAGTGAGCCCAGGCGGGGGTCCGCGTGAGCCGCTGAAGAGGCCAGGCGGTTACTTCTGCCTACGTGGCTTCCAGCTCACCAACATTCCGCTGCGTCGAGTTTTCTGCCAGGTAGTACCTGGACAGTGTTGACACACTGAGGCCGCGAGTTGGCTGTTTGAGTGACTCTTGCGAGGAACATCCTGATCAACTCTGATGCGTTCTGCTGCTTGGCCATGTGCATCGGGGGGTCGGAAGGCATCCCCGACGCGTGGCTAGGCCTGTGCAGTCTCCGTTGCGAGTTGCCTGGGTAGCAAAAGAGAACAACTGTTCTGTCTACCTCTGCGCAGGTGCAACCAGGAAGGGTTGCTGGAGGGTGGGCCAGACGCGTTGAACTGCTCGTTCGTGAATCAGCTGACGCTACACTCCCGTCTACAGCGCTGACGCAGTCTTGGTAAAGTACGGAAGCGATTTCCAACCCCGCTTCAAGATTAGAGGAGCCTGGCTGCAGAGCTGCGATGCGGATGCCCCTCGTCAGGTCATTGAGCGGCCGCGGAGGCAATCTGGGAAGGGCTGGCCGAAGCGAGGGTGGTGAAGATCCCCGGCGAGGTCGAGCCTCCTGCAGTTCGCAGCCGACGTCTCCTCCCCACGCCTCCCTGCCGTCGCCGTTGTTTTACCATTTTCGTTTGACTTGAAAGGTGCCTAGTGAAGGTCTCAGAGATGTTTGCCAAATCCTAACTGTTTTCGAATCGGTTCCGAACGTCCTTCGGATCCCCAGATTCCTCAAGCCGTTTCGATGTACAGTTGTGCTACCGTTCTGGATCGAAACGCAAAACCGAAGCTTGCGGTGCGCCAGTTGTTCCCGCTCTCATAATCAAGAGGCAGTTTTTGTTTCTGACAACAGTCTAACACTTACCGTGCCAGCAAGCGTCCTGTTGTTTGCAGGGCCTTCTCAGCCCTAGCCTTGAGTCGGGCTAGTATGAATCGTGAAAAATATAGTGGGGACGATGTTTGGACTATGTTTTATTATCCGTAAGGGCTTCGCTCCGTGCCGCCGGCCCCCTGTCTCGGATAATGGGAGAGGCAAAAGCTAAATCGTAAGGTCTGGGCGCCGCCGTGAAGCAGTGTCGGGACTTGTTTGTTTTTCAACCCTGACCCTACGTATCTGCATCACGGGTGCCACCGAATTTTGTGAAATCTGGCAAATCCCTTGTGCTTTAGAACCCTGACCCTACGGATCTGCGTGAGGGGTGCCGCCGAATTTCAGAAACGTAGCAAATCTTCTATGTTTTGGGACCCTGACCCCTCCGATATGCGTGAGGGGTGCCTCCGGATTTTTGGAAATCTGGAAAATCCCTTCTGTTTTAGAACACTGACCCTGCCGATCTGCATGAGGGGTACCACCGAATTTCAGAAATGTGGCAAATCCCATGTGTTTTTGGACCCTGACCCCGCCGATCTGCGTGAGGGGTGCCAGCGAATTCTAGAAATGCGAATAATCCTTTGTGTTTTTGCATCCTGACCCCGCCGATCTGCGTGAGGGGTGCCACCGATTGTTGGAAATGTGCTGACCCCGCCGATCTGCGTGAGGGGTGCCAGCTAATTTCAGAAATGTGGCGAATCCCCTGTGTTTTTGGACCCTGACCCCGCCGATCTGCGTGAGGGGTGTCAATTTTTACCCACCCCAGCAATTCAGACAACACGCTCAGGGTGTGGTAAAAATGCCCGTTTGGGGCCTCCCCCCCTCGCGCGGTCCATCGACAAGGAACATTAAGCAGCAAGAAGCAGAGCTGTAACAGTGGAAACTGGAAGCTGCAACTGGTATAGGAAATTGCGAACCTTCGGCCTACAGCCTGGAGGCCCCACAAGGGGCCCGGCGGATTTTTTTGGGGGGTATTTCGGGAGCCTTGAGACGGGGGTCAGTGCAGACGGGGGTCAGCCAGGGCGCCAGATCCTGCAGGATCCTGCGAAGACCCCCTTTGGCTGACCCGGGTTAGCGAGCCGCTCGTGGCCGCGAGGCGGCCGCGCATACTGGCTGACCCGGGTCTGCGAGGACCTGCGTTGCAGGTTGTTGTTCCCGCATTGCAGCTTTTTGGTCTCCTGCTGACCCGGGTCTGATTGACCCGGGTTAGCAGCGCCGATGCACCAGCGATGCGGCTCGCCGTGAAGCCCGATTTTCTCCACGTCGACGTCGCCAATGCATCGGCGACGTCGTCGAGGCATCGCCGATGCATCGGCGATGCATTGGCGATGCGGCGCGACCCATCCAGAAGGCCTCTGCGGAAGCTTTCCGATTGACCCTGGAGAACAAAATCGGGGGACATGCCCGACCTACCCCTGGCGCTCGCGGGGGCACCCTTGCCTGCTCTTCGTGCCCCTGGGCCTCCCACCGTGGCGCCTCGTGTGCTTCCACCGTGGGTGCCTCCGCGTGGCCGCGCGTGCTCCTGCGAACTGGCCCGCGCTCCTGGCCCACGTACTTGCGACCCCCCCCCCCCCCTGGCCGCCTCCTCCTCCTCCTCCTCCTCCTCCTCCGCCTCATCCTCCTCCTCCTCCTCCTCCTCCTCCTCCTCCTCCTCATCCGCTTCCGAGAGGCCCCGCCGCTCCTCCTCCTCCTCTCCTCCTCCTCCTCCTCCTCCTCCTCCTCCTCCTCCTCCTCCTCCTCCACCTCCTCCCCCTCCTCCTCCCCCCCATCTTTCTCCCCCCCCCCTTGGCATGAAGGAAACGGGTCCTGAAGGGACCGGGCCTTGGACCCCGAGGCCGTCCCCAGGGAGGACCAGATCTTCACCGTATCGCACCGCAAGCGGCACGGGGGTTGTCTGCACTGTCACGGGGCGCCTTCACACATTTATTGGCAAGCATTAGTCCGGGCATGTCCCCCTACGGGAAAATACAAGATTCAAGAATAGTCAAAAAATAGTCTGGGACGATGTATCGACTATTTTTTGAGTATTCCTGAGTACTTCGTGGACTATGTTTCATTTGTCTTCCAAGATCCGCCTGCAGGAGGCCATGCCCGACCTAAGGCAAGCGTCCGGACGGTCTGGAGCAGTTCTTCATCCTGCATGGCCTCTTGACGGGCCCGGGGCCCGAGGAGAGCCCCCGGAGCGTGGAGGCCACGGGCCTGCGAGCAGAGCTCCGGACCCGTTTTTCCACCGTGCAGGACCCGTTTCCCCAGTCATTTGGCGCTCCAGTGTTTCCAGGGCGTGGGGTCACGGAGGTCTGGGCCAACTCCGTGTGGGGGGCAAGTCTTTCCTCCCGAGGCGTTTTTGGATGGCCCCCGTGCCCGTTGAGGGCACGGCACCCGCCATGTGAGCGTTCTCCCTCCCCCCGCGGCCGCCCCGCGGCCGCTCCGCCGTTCTTTTCCTCCTGCCGCCAGTCAATTCGCGAGTTCCGTTGCCTGGGCCGCTCGAGCGCGAGTGCGGACTGCCTCTGCCGCGCTGGGACGTCACAAGCCCGTTGAGGGTCCCTGGAGGCTGGACATCGCAGAATCTGGCCGCTCCACTTTTGGGGGAGCCTCGGATCTGCGTGTGCCCGTGTTGGTGACCCCCATGGGCTGGGGGGCATAACGACCTCTCGCGTTTTTTTTTCCGTTTTCCGTTTTCGGGTTGTCTTCGAACCACCGCGATCCCAGGGTGCCGTAAAGGGCTTGAAGTTGAAGGCGTAAACCATTCAAGCCAATTCCATGCCACGCTCCCTCCCTCTCTCCCTGTCTCTCTCTCTCTCTCTCTCTCTTTTTCTCCCCCTCTTTCTTGTTCACAAGCGACTTCCTCCTTGGGTGTTCGCTGCAGAGAAGGGGGGGGAGAGGAGGGGGGGGGGCCTCTGGGGCCACGGCCCCAGGAAAATCTAGAACGGGGCCCCTCGGAATCCACCGGTCCTGTCTTTGTTGTTCCCCGGCGCCGAACAGAAATAGCATTATCGCGACCAGTGGATCCAGCCAGGGAGGTGTCTGTCCCTGGGATCTCCCCCCAGCGTTACGTTGGGCCTGCCACTCTACAGGGGGCAGATTCAGAAATAGTCTAAAATTGTGTGATTTGCTATTTTTGCTATTGGGGACCATTTTTAGCTATTTTTGCTATCTTTGCTGTTTTTGCTATTCTAGCTGGGGACATTTTGGGGAGTATTTTGGGGCATTTGGGGAGTCTGATTTGAAAACCAGGGCGGTGTCTGCTCCTGGGAGCTCTCCCCCCCAGGGCTGGGCTCGCCCTCCTCTGCGAGCGGGCCGCCCCGAGAGCGCGCAGCTGCATCCTCCAGAGCGCCCCTGGGCGGACTCCCCGCGCCAGGGCCCCTGTCACTCTCCTGCTCTCTCAGTCTCTCCTGTCCCCCCTCCCCCCATCTCCTTGGCATCGCTCGGACGTGTGCATTTTGTTCCTTCGGCGAGGGCCATCGAGGAGCATCCTTGATCATTCGGCGAAGAAACCACGCACGAGACCGGAAAACAACAGAGGGAATGGACGTCCGAGCGATGGCGAGTCTTCCTCAGGGCGGATGCATAGCTCTGCTCTCAGGGCGGATGCATAGCAGAAGATCTGCCAGCTGTCCTAGTCCAGGTCGGACGAGTCCTAGCCGCGCATGATCCGATGATAAGGTTGATCTGCAACACCGCACTCGCAGAAAAACAGAACTCCCTTAGTTGGATTCCTCGTCTTGTCCATGTGTTTCCTTATCTCGGAGCCCCGGAGAGACCAGGACGATGGGCGCGACGGTTCTGGAGCCCTGGAGCCGCCCTGAAAGACAGGATGTACGCAGGCAGCCACTCGGCATCACCATCGTCATTGGCATCACCTGCGCAGGGATGCACGGCATCGGAAGCATGTTGCATCACATTTTCGTCATCAACACCGCCATTGGTATCACTTGCTCAGCAGTGCACGTCATCATCATCGTCATCTGGTCAGCATCGCCATTGGCATCACTTGCTCAGCAATGCACGTCATCACCATCGTCATCTGAAGCACCTTGCAGCACGTACTCGTCATCAGCATCGTCTTTGGCATCACCTGCAAAGCGATGCACGTCATTATCGTCGTC